TGATCTGTCTGTGGCAGTGGTAAACCGCTTAATGCTCTGGCTGAGATGTTTTGGGAACATTATTTGAGGCAGCATTCGGATGAGGGAGAAAACTTTTTATTGGCTGATGAATTACCTTTTATGCAAAGATTAAATTTTTTGTACCATTTATTTATTCCCCATTTGTTTGTCTACATTTTGCTATGTTGGGGATTGAACCTTGGGCTGCAAGCATGCTACACAGACACTCAGCTGCTGGCCTGTATCCCTAGCCACAGATGGTGACATCTTTTAAATGCATTTAGAGAGATAAATTAAAATGCTTAAATTTAAAACATGCGGTTCATCTGTTTATTTATGTATGTGTTTGGGGGAGGAGTGACTGTGCACAGATGTGTATGGCGAGCGGCTTTCCAGAGCGGCCCTTCCACCATGCGGGTCTCAGGGATCAAACTCAGGTTGTCAGGTTTGGTGGCGCAGGGTCTTTACCCACTCAGCCGTATTTTTATAAGAGAGTTTTGCGTCCAAGTTGAGAATCATTGGTGAATTTACTATTGAGCTAAACTAAAACAATCTTAAGGAGACAGGCCATGAAGAATTCCCAGCAGTTTTTTTTTTTTTCTTGCATGGGATTTCTGAGACTTCACCCTGATTAGATACCCTTGTGGTGCCTGGGTCTGTTTAGACACCCTGTGGTGCCCGGTTCTGTTGGGGTCTTGGGTGAGTGTAGCAACAGCAACAGTGGTACCATGCAAAGAGTTTCAGGGCTGGAGAGATGGCTTAGTGGCCTTAGTTAGGAGCACTGACTGCTCTTCCAGAGGACCCGGGTTCAATTCCCAGCACCCACGTGGCAGCTCACAACTGTCTGTAAATCCAGTTCCTGAGACCCAACACCCAGGGCAAAACACCAATGCACATGAAATAAAAATAAATTAATTAAAAAAAAATAGTTTCAATCCAGGGGTCAGCTGACCTTTGCCACTCAGTAGCAGTGACCTTGGGTAAGTCATTCAAAATTTGTAAATGAGTGATTGTACAAATGAGGTGCAACCTCGGAGCAGCCTCCTGGGCATCCAAAACACTTGTAAGTGTTTATGTATTTGGGGGCTGGAGATGGCTCAGTGGTTAGGAGCACTGCCTGCTCTTCCAGAGGACCCGGGTTCAATTCCCAGCACCCACGTGGCAGCTCACACCTGTCCAGGGGATCACTCCCTTGCCGCCTTCTGATCTTCGTGGGCACCCGGCACACACATGGTGCCCATACCCACGTGCAGACAAAGCACTCATACACATAAAACAACTTAAAAACCATTGCCCATTTCAATGTTTAAAAATCTTTTAAAATGTTTATGTGTATAATGTACATATATTCCTGTTTTATTTTTGGTTTTGCTGAGGATTAAACCCAGGATTTGTACTTTCTTAGTGTGTGTTCTGTCTAACGGTCTCTCCTCCCAGGAATGAATTCTAACACTGCACAGAGCTGTTCCTGCAGTATTATTTAATGGTTGGAAACATTTATAAATGACATAAATGTCAAAGGGTGACCAAGCTTTTGGTGGAATTTTTATGTAACTTCAAAATCTTCAGAAACTACATAATAACATGCAAAATAGTCATGTAATTTTGGAAAATGTTAAATGATTTTCTTTAATGGTTATTCTGTGTTCAAAACCAAACAAAAAGCCAGGCAGTGGTGGTGTACCCTTTTAATCCCAGCACATGGGGCAGAGGCAAGCGGCTCTCTGAGTTCGAGGCCAGCCTGGTCTACAGAGGGAGTTCCAGGACAGCCAGAGCCACACAGAGAAACCCTGTTGTGAAAAACCAAAACCAAAAAACCTCCAAAGAACAGAACCAAAGGGATTTTAGCTAGAAGCACACTTGTGGTTCTCAGACTTTGAGACTCCAGTTTATTGACAGGAGAGATTTTTATGTGAGCTGGAGAGGGTTTGTTGTTCCTTTAGGAATAGAGTCCAAAGTGTTAACATGAAAGTTACAACAGCGTAGCAAGATATGGTGCTGTACACCTGCAGCCCCAGACATTGGAGGCAGGGACAGGAAGAGCCTGTGTTTGAGGCCATCTAGCCTGGGCTTTGTAGAAATTCTGTTGGTTAGTCAATCAATCGATCAGTCGATCAATCAATCAATCAATCAACCGGTCAATATAAGGCACTGTACTTAAAATTAATATTCAAAATTGGAATAACACAGTGTGCTGGCTAGTTTTATGTCAATTTGATACAAGCTATAGTCGTTTTGGAACCTCAGTGAGAAAATGCCCCCACCCTATTAGCCTCTGGGCAGGCCTGTGGTGCTTTTTCTTGATTGGTGATTGATGTGGGAGGGCCTGGCTCACTGTGGGTGGTGCCATCCTTGGACTGGTGGTCCTGGGTTCTATAAGAAAATAGGCTAAGGAAGGAAGGAAGGAAGGAAGAGCAAGCTAGTAAGCAGAACTCTTCCATGGCCTCTGCCCTAGTTCCTGCCTCCAGGTTCCTGTTCTGAGTTCTTGCCGTGACTTCTCTCAGTGATGGTGAAATAAACCCTTTCCTTCCCAAGTTGCATTTGGTTATGTTTTCTCACAACACTAGAAAGCAAGCTAAGGCACACGGACCGCTGCTTTCCCCAAACCTGATTTATTTACTCACAGAAACAAACCGTTGAGGAATCCTGGCGCAAAGACGCTCCTGCCTGTGAGGGCTGGAAGCAGGGCTTGCATTTCCCTTTCTATTCTAGCTCTGCCGCTGCTCAGCATCACCACATCACAGCTGGCTTTTCCGCCCCTGGTTTGTGGGTGCTGTGCCTAGTACCCCACCTCGCTGCAGGAACCTTGTCGGTGGCGTAGGCACCAGTCAGGACTGTTTTATAGCTGTTGGACCGGGGAAGGTAAAGACAAGATTGAGGCTCACCTAAATTCCGTCTTGTTTTGTTGGTATCGTAACCTCAGAGAGGAGGAAGATCAACCGCCCGAGGGAACTGTCTTTGACTCCACTGTGCTTTTTTGTCTCTTGTGCTGTTTCTGGCTTCAGCTGTTGTGAGGTTGTTCCTATTAATGAGAACCCAAGTAAGAAGGTCCCCTGAGAGCTGGGGTCGCCAGCAGCTGCCTGTCAGAATCATCTTGCGCATTTCCTACCCCATCCCCATTGGCTTTTGATACAGCGTCTCCCTACATAGCCTTGGCTATCCTGGAACTCAGTGCATAGACCAGGCTGACCCCGAATTCACAGAGATCCACCTGCCTCTACCTCTTAAGTGCCGGGATCAAGGGTGTGCACCACCACGCCTGGCCATCCATATCCTTTCCAGCAGTGAAATATTAGAAAACAATGTGACATGTGTCCTTTGGCTCCAGCTCTGTCCACCCCGGCAGCCGCCTTTCTTTCCCACACTGTGTCCAGCAGTAGTAGAGTTTGAATTTTGTGGCCCTGGCGGATTGATAGCTAATTTAGTTTCCATGTAGCTCTTCTGGGAAACTGGCTTTTCTTTATTGTAATACTTGAAAGTTAGAAGACAAACTTGTCATTGTGTTCAGCAGACAAGCAGAAGGTTCTCTGGTCCAGCCATGTTTCCATCCAGCCTTTACTTAGTGCCTACTGTGTGTCAGACAGTGTGAGGTCCACCAAGAGTGAATAGATGTGAAAATGAAACAGTGACTGGTCTGTAGTATTTGAGGGGCGAAATAATTGCTTTCCTGTTTTAAAGAAGATTAGGAAAACTCTTTACATCTATTTAATGTGTGTATGGGTACATGAGATTTATTTTATGTGTATGAGTGTTTGCCTGCATGTATGTGCAGCGTGTGTGTGTGTGCCTGGCGTCCGTGGAGGTCAGATAGGGGTTTTACATCCCCTGGGACTGCAGTGACAGATGGTTGTGAGCTGCCGTCTCTCCAGCCCCGATCTTTTTAATGTTGAGATGCTGGGCATTGAACTCAGGACTTAGAACCTGCTTTGTGAGTGCTGTGCCACCGACTACATCCCTAGCCCTCTTGGGCTCTAAATGTAAACTTCTATGTGTACAGTCACACTTAAAAATGGATTATTCCAGCGTGGCCGTGGTGGCGCATGCAGTTAATCCCAGCGCTTCGCTGGAGGCAGAGGCAGGCGGATCTCTGAGTTCCAGTGAGTTCTGGGACAGCCAAAGCTACCCAGAGAAACCCTGTCTTCGAAAAACACAAAAACAAAATCAAGTAAAAGGGAAGGCCGGGGAAGCTTGTTATTTGCTTTTTGCTTAGGCCTTTCCTCCTTCTGGGAATTTAGCTGATTGACTGTGTTGTATTTTAATTTTTTTTTAAATTTTAATATTTTTGTTAAATTTATTTTTTGGTTTTTCGAGACAGGGTTTCTCTGTGTAGCTTTGCGCCTTTCCTGTAACTCGCTTTGGAGACCAGGCTGGCCTTGAACTCACAGAGATCTGCCTGTCTCTGCCTCCCGAGTGCTGGGATTAAAGGCGTGTGCCACCACTGCCCGGCTGGGAGGAGTCATATCATACAACAGGCCCACGTGGGAGGTTTATTGAGGGGAGGGGGAGAGAGAAGGGGGCAGAGACCTGTCGGTCCTTGTGGAAGAGAGCGAAGGAAGAGAAAGAGACAGAGGTGTACAAAGGCCCGCCTTTTATAAGGAAACCTAGTGAATGCACACGGGGGTGCTCTTAGTGACTGTAGCTGAGGTACATCCTGTCAGGATCCTAAAGGCAGGCCAGTACGGATGCCTGAATGCAACCTTAGTGCCTGTGCCTAGCAGGTCACTGCCCTGCAAAGACCACCAGTGACAAGGACAGTGGCTTCAATTGCAGATGGATTTTCTTGGCCTCGCTAAGGGGTAACAAGGACTTAAGAGGCAGAGTTTGAGGTTCCTGGAGCAGCGTCACCCTGGTGGAGAAGGTGGCATCGTCCTCGGGATGTAAGATGGCAGTTGACAGGTCTGGGCTGTGTGGAATGTGTTCAAGAGTGTTGGTACGTTTCGTTCAGGAGAATAGAAATTAAACCCGTAAGGACCTTCTGACCTTCCCTTTTCCTTGTGCAGGTGGATGGAAGCTTGCCTAGGAGAGGACCTGCCACCCACCACGGAGCTGGAGGAGGGCCTTAGGAATGGAGTCTACCTTGCCAAACTAGGGAACTTCTTCTCTCCCAAAGTGGTGTCCCTGAAAAAAATCTATGATCGAGAGCAGACCAGATACAAGGTGGGTGCTCTGATTATCTCTGCGTGCTTGAGGGGGCAGCATACCTGTCCCGTGTTGTTTCCTAATGGGCCCAGGTGACGGGGTAGTGACAGGAGCAGTGGGAACGGCAGCGTGCGCTTCCGGTAGCATGCTTTTCCGGTAGCATGCTTCGGACCGGCTATTGATCGAGAATTTCGCAGCCCTGGATTTTTTTTATTTCATTCTTAGAAAGTAGAGGAAGTAACTGGGGGAATTACCACTGACAGTCTCGCTAGAACCAGGCCCTGAGGGTAGCTGTAGCCACTTTGGGAAAATTCTTACTGTAATACCAGAGTTCAAGATAAGATGGGAAAGAGACTGAATTTCGGAAAGCTTAGGTAAGTGGATGGACCGATCCTGTGGCCGAGGCCATGGAAAGGACAGTCGGGGTTCTGAGAAGGACCCGATTTCCTCTCTCCAGAGTCCTAACAGGAACTTGCCCCGAATTACTGTCTGAGGGCCAGTGGAGGACCGCATAGCCAGAGTGAGCGTAAGGGGTTCAGGACTGCGCCCGCAGCTGTACGAGCTAAAGCCCCAGACTGTGAACACGGTTTTTATGTTTATATTGAAATTCAGGTCAAGGAGATAGAGGTCCTCAGCCAGGATCACTGCATGTATGAATTGTCTGAATGAGACAAAGGAGCAGGAAAGATTTCACCCTGGCCCACAGTTCCCTGGGTACAGGCTGCGGTCTCTGCTCCAGCCTTTCGTGGCTGCCGTAACCTTCATGGCAGGGAGAGGAGCAGAGCCCACACGGAGAATCACCTCATGCTGGCTGAGAAGTCAGGGAGTAGGGGACAGGAGACTGAAAGGAGAGAGGGCGGGGGAGGAGAGAGGAGGAGGAGGAGAAGGCAGACCCCAGAGAGTGTCTCCATGACCGTCTCCCACCCCACCGGGCCTGCCAGCCATGAACTTAATCGGTGGATGAATCACTGATGGTTAGTACCCTCCAGTTACAGTCACCTCTTTGCACTGTTAGCTGGGACTAACCCTGTAATTCAGGGATCTTGGAGGATATTCTAAATCCAAACCATGAGATCCTAAACAGAAATAACTTCAACTTCTTTTTTTTTTTTTTTTTTTTTTTTTCAGAGTCTTGATAGGTAGTTCTGGCTGACCTGGAACTCACTATGTAGATCAGGCTGGCCCCGAACTCATAGATCCAACCTACCTATGTCTCCTAAGCGTGGGATTAGAGGTAAACACCTCCATGCCTGACTGGAAACTTCTTAAAAACGAAAGACTTAATATGTTGAATAAACAGTTATGCTTGAGACATCTTTGGAGCTCCTCCCTGGAGGCAGGGTCTCACTCCGTATCCCCGGCCAATCCAGAACTTGCTGTGTAGATCAAGCTGGCCTCGAGCTCACAGAGGTCTACTTCCCAAGTGCTGGGGTTAAACCCTGGAGCTGTTCATGTAGACGGAGTAGCAGGACACTAATGCAGGGTAGAGGCTTTGCTTGTCTTGTGTGACATAGGGTGTCACTTTGTAATCCCGGCTGGCCTGGGGCTTGTGACAGTTCTGCTCCTGCCTCCTGAGTGGCACAGCTGTGTGCCATCATGTGCAACCTTATATTAATTTTTAAAAAATGGTTTGCAGCAGCAGTTTCTTAAAAAGCCCTATTCACGTATCCCTTTGTAGCCGAGCATTGGTGGCACACGTCTTTGATCCCAGCACTTGGGAAGCGGAGGCAAGTGGATCTCTGAATTCCAGGCCAGCTTGGTTTACAAAAAGAGTTCCAGGACAGCCAGGGCTACACAGAGAAGCTGTCTCAAAAAAACAAAACAAACAAAAATGTATATCCTTCTCTCCCTTTGTAAAGTGACCTGCGCCAAACTAATAGACCTAGGGGTTGGGGCTATAACTCAGGGGTAGAGCTCTGGACTAGCATGTGTGAGGCCCTGGGTTTGATACCCAGAACTTTTTAAAAAAATAAGCAGACGGGCATTTGCAAGGGATTGTTTCTAAGTATATTATGAAACCTTCAATGACATATTTATAATATCTGCCATTTTTGCCTATTCACACACCACACTAACCTAAGCGGTTGTGTGTACACTGTCTCATATAGCCTCACAGGGGATGCACAAAGTAGCTATCCTAGATGAGATATCTCAGGCAGCAAGGGGGAGTGACTTGTCCACTGTCACCGGATCATGTGATTCCAGAGAGCGTGCTGTGAAGCACACTGGTGAGCGAGGTTCTCCAGGCAGCTTGTAAGCGAGAGGAGGTCAGGGTGCAGCTTCTCGGTACTGAGGTGTGAGCAGCGTGATGACTTCAGGAGGGAATGTTGTGGAGTCTCACGAGGGGTTCACAAGAAGAGCTTTATACGGTGTTCGCCTGCAGCACCTAATACTCCTGTGTTTCTTTCAGGCTACTGGCTTGCACTTCAGACACACGGATAATGTGATTCAGTGGCTGAATGCCATGGATGAGATTGGATTGCCTAAGGTAACTTACCTGGTACTCATGCTATTGGTCGTTTTGAAAAATAATAGCTCTCATTCAGCCTGAAAACTGTTCTGCATACCAACCGGTCATCTGTCCATCCTTCCTTCTGTCCTTCCTTCCCTCCCTGCCCTTCTCCCTCCCTCCCTTTACACCCTTCTTCATTGTTTTTGAGATAGTGGTTCAAGCTCAAGCTGTAGCCTAGGCTGGCTTTGAACTCAGAATCCTCCTGCCTCGACTTCCAGAGTACTGGGATTATAGGTACATAACAACATTCTGGCTAATTTTTTTCCTTCTCCTTAATGATAAAGGTTCCTTTCAGGTTGACTTAGGCAATGAATTTTTTCTTTTATATTTGTCCTTTTCTTCATATGTCCCTCTCCTTACCCCGGGAAATTTCCTATAGTGTTATTTATTTCGACTGCATCCCTTGGATGTTTGCACCGTCGTGTGCGCGTTTGTTTGTGGGCTTTTGCTGGGTGGTACACATGCCAGGCCAGCACTCCACCAACCGAGCCGGGAGCTAGCTACATGCCCAGCTTGGTTCTTTGGCTAAGAGCTTACTCTGGAGCCCAGCTTGGCCTTAAAGCTCCTCCTGCCCAAGCCAATGCACGTCAGTGGACTTCTTCACAGATGCACTTTCTAGAGTGTAGAGATCCATCACTGTAAAGGGCACAGTAGTGGTTTTTACTGAATTCCCAATGTTGTAGAGATGTCACCTTCCAGCCTCTGAGCTGGAAGTATCTGCAGGGAGTATGAAAGCTCCCTCACATTTTTGGTCGTTGAGGCAATATAATGAGGTGTGTGCGGTGGCTGTGGTTTTAATATGGGAGTGTGCATCTCGAGTGTTTTGTTCAGTTTATTTTGTGATGCCCTTAGTAAGTCGTCGTCATCGTCTCCCGCCCACTCAGTCGTTAGACATAGAAGATGCACTGCACCTCCACTTTCACAGTCAGGGTTTTGGTTTTTTCTCTTAATTTTCTTTCTTTCTTTCTTTTTTTTTTTTTTTTTAAGACAAGATCTCCCTATGTAGTCCTAGTTGGCTTGGAACTCACTCTGTAGACCAGGCTGGCCTCAAATGCCGCCTGCTTTCTGCATCTAAAGTGCTAGATTAAAGGCATATATCACCAAGATCTGGCAGACTGGCTGACTTCCTTCCTTCCTTCCTGTTTTTGACATACTTCTAGGAATTTATTAACCCCCCCCCCAATAATTTAAAAAGACACAGAAGCTGTATATAGAGAGCTTTCAGCAACGCTTACGACAGAGAACAGCTGGAGGAGACTACATGTTCCTTCAGCAGGGCGATCTCATGCCAAAGCTGCAAACCCTGGTGCCGTTAAAGATTGTCTTTGAGAGCCCCGAGAGGTGGCTCGGCAGTGTGAGCCCCCACTGCTCATCCAGAGAGCGTGGGTTGGATTCCCAGCACTCATACTCCCTGTGGCTCCAGTTCCGGAACCCCACTGCCCTCTCCACAGCTGCCAGGCCTGCCCCCTGCGCGCAGGCGCAGACAAAATGTTCATATGCGTGAAAATTGAAAACGTTGATATCGAGTAAGGGGAGGCACACCGGTTTAAGGTTGTAAAAGCTTGTTCCCAGCAAAGATGAGGTCACTGTTTTCGTGGAAAAATAAAGTAGGTGTGCTTTGAAATGAAAAATTGGTAAGGAGAGGCTTTTCGTTCCTGTGTGATGGGATTAGGGGGTGGTTTTTATTTTCTTTATACTTCCCCGAGAGTCCCAGGTTTTGTAACTGAAGAAAGACTAAGAATAGAAGTAAGATGTAGAGTGCCAGAAAGTGACTAAAGATAGTCACGTGGCAATCAGTCTTTGCCGCTCAGCTCAGTGTTAAGCTCATCATTATACAGGATCTGTTGAGCTGACTCAGATCCAGAGCTGAGTCTTAGCAAGAGACCAGCTTTTGTCCTCACTTCCTCAGAGTGCTGAAGTGCTCTTCTTTGTCCCACCAATGTCAGGAAATGCACTGCACCCGGTTGCTGTGGTTACCTGGCCTGTCTGTGCACCTATACCTCCTGTTCCCCTTTTCTGTGATGTAAAATGCTGCTGATGTAAAATACTGCACTGTGTACCTGTGACTTCCTGCCTTTCGTAGAGTGTTGTCATCCGTGGGCAGGGACAATTTAACCTCCTTTGAATGGTGTTTAGAGTGTGTTTATGTTTGCTGTTGCTAGGTTGGTGGGTTTTTGTTTTTTTTTTTTGTTTTTTTTTTTTTTTTTTTTTTTTTTGTTTTTTTTTTTTTTTTTTTATGGTAGTGGCACTAGAGACTGACCCCAGGCCTTCATGCTAGGCAAGTTCTCTACTCTTTACTATATCCTCAGCCTTCATTCGTTTTTATTTTGAGACAGTCTCACTAAGTTGTCCAGGCTGCCCTTCAACACACTCTGTATCCAGGCAAACCTTGAACTTAGGATTCTTCTGACTTAGCCTCAAAAGTTTAGAGCTACCCTGGACTCTTCACCCACTCCTTCCCCAAACTTTCTTCATTTATCTGACTTACCTCTTTTATCCACCCACCGGCACAGCTTTCCAGCCTGCTCCTCCAGCTTCCCGCCTCATTGTCGACACAGCCCGGGTCATGTCTCCGGTAGCATCTCTAAAGCCTCCCTTCATCCTTTGCGCCAAAGCTAGGTTACATCTTTGTGTCCTGCTTGCCAAGTCTGTCTCTGAACATGATTTCAATCATCTGATTCCATCCTACATAGCTCCCTTGTTTTCTAGTACTTTCTAGAATACGTTCTGTGCATTTCAGAAAGCTTTAGACTCTTGCCTCGCTCTCTCACCAACACGAGTGTTCTTGTTATTGCCCCTGAAGAGCTTTTGCTGAGGTCTTGTCTGTCTCAGTAAAGATCTTTATTCTTTTCCAGATTCTTCCACCCACTTTATTCAGTCTACTTCTTTTATTTCCCCCTAGATTTTTTACCCAGAAACCACAGATATCTATGATCGGAAGAACATGCCAAGATGTATCTACTGTATCCATGCTCTCAGGTAACCGGGCTTCTTGGTAAAATAAGTCATTTAAGGATAACTTCTCAGTCAAGTGTGTATCTTTTTTTTTGTCCGTGGTGAAAGAATGAAAGAGGTTTTACCTCAGCTTCAGGATTTTCAAATGGAATAGAAGGCTATTGTCCTTACAGAAACACCTGTGTTTTCCTAGGGAGCAGAGAGAAGGGATTTGTTTATCCCCATAATATATTATTGTTGCAAAAACATGGTATAATCTTTCATTATTGACCTAATGCCTCTCTGGACTCTGCATCTTAATCAGGGTGTGGTCTCCTTTATTCAGTAATCTAGGCCCTTGCCATTGGTAAGCTATTTATTCATTCATTAAATAATTTTTATACCACCACAAGTATGATAGGAAATAAAATATCATTTCATGAAAAATGACACAATTTCAAGTTCCCGCTTCTTTGAAGCAGCAAACAGTGTTGTCTGAAGGGAGGGCCGGGGAGATGAGGATGAACACGGGTAGCCAGGAATGGAGGTATTGTGAGGGGTCCACCTCCACCTTTTTTCCCCAGGGCACTCTTCAGGAGTGAGGGATAAGAGATTTAGATAGAAATGTAGAGGGGAGAGAGACAGGTAGAAACACAGGATAGTCTGGGAGGGCCTGGATGCTAATCCACCGGCCCCTTCTGTCTCTTCTAAAGGGCCTTTTATAAGAATGCCAAGGGGTGGAGCAGAAGACCTCCCCCTCACACAGCCAAGTGCAGACCATCCCGAACACCTGATAACCATGCACATGGTCAATCTATCTCTTTATAAAGCCCCACTGGGTAAAGCAAGCTCAGATCTCACTAGGAAACCTCTGTGGGCTCCCACACAGTATAATATTTTTATCAGCTTTACTCCGTGGCTACAGGACTGAAGGAGAAGGTTGGGGAGGAAGTGGGGTGTGAAGATGAGATTTGTTTGTTTGGATTCCTCTTGCTGTACAGCCTCTTGTATGTGTGCTTAGTCAATGTTAATTTTATGAGTGAAAGTGAACCTATAGCATGGACGCATAAGAAGCCTGTTATCTCTAGTTGAGTCTAGGACCTCACACATGCTAAGCAGACATTCTGGCCACCGAGCTGCTCCATCTTGGGGGTTTTGATGAGACTTAGGATTCTTGGTATCACCAGCATCATTGTGAGCACGCAGAAGAGTGAATAGCTGGCTAGTGCATCTCCTGTGTGGAGAGAGCAACAAATTCAAGTGCATGGGTCTGAGCCAAAACCTGGTTAATTCTCAGCATTGTGGTTGGCTTCGTGTGCGGAGGTCTGTCTGTGTTGATAACCTGGTGAAGGCTGTGTCTACAATGGCCATGTGAACTTGGCAGGCACGGAGGCGAAGCTGGCAGAATTCCTCTCTGCTCCTCCTGTAGCCTCTGAGGTAGCCTGGGTCCAGTCGCCCCATTCTTGGAAATCAGATGAAGAGTTGGCCCAGCCTTTCTAATGACGGACAAAGGGAGGAAGTACACTATTGTTCTCCGTTCCTCTTGCACGAGCATTCTCTGCTTAGAAAGCACACACACGGCAGTGTTCTGCCTCAGGATTTATGCTTTCTTTCCTCCCACTGGGTGTTTTTCCTGAAAGGTAGGGTGGCAGCACTTGATAGTATGGAGGAAGGGCCTCAACCGCAGCTCCCAGGGCAGATTCCCCACCTCACTCACTACTGGGGGCCGCCCTCTTCCTCTGTACCAGCAGTCACCCGGGAGCTGCTTACCACACTTTCAGAGTCCTCCCCACACCTCGCCCATGCTTCGAAAGTGCTCTCTCATGAGATGTGCTCTCCCCACCTCCCCTCTACAAAGAGTTTTAACTGACAGTCTTCCAGAGACAGTTATTGCACCTCAGTTACACTCAACTGTTTTGTAGGTAACATTCCATTCTCTGTTGTTTGTACATTTATTTTCTTTTCTCCTGATGTTTTACATTTGGAATTAGAAGGATCAGGTGTTCTAGGTCATCCTTGGCTATATAGTGAGTTTCAGGCCAGCTGGATAAGACCCTGTCCCTCACCCCCCCCCCCAAAAGCAAGTTTAAACAAAACTCCACTGATTTTGGTATTAACTGGGCCCATAATCCTTCACCTTGTATTAAGAAAAGTAAAAATCCTTCATGCTGTGAAAATCGAGTTTAGGTTATGTGGGGCGTTTACCCACCACCCCCACAGCTTCCCAGAGTTTTCTTGAGTGCGAGCAGCAGGAAATATTAGATAGAAGGATTTATAGCGGAGAATGTTGCGGAGATAAACAGATAGAAAATAAAGGATAGCCTCGAGAGGGCCTGGAACCTATTCCAACGGGCCCCGACTGTC